TCTTAACATATTTAATCAGTTAATTTATCAGTCTGAGCATAGTCATTAGTAATTGTTTATATTATTTTCAGTTTGATCAGGCATCAGCACTACCTTCATTTTCACGGATCAGGTGGGGACTCAGACTAAGTACTACATTGATATAATTACGGTACCATGTTTGAGGTATGTATTTCATGTCATGTATCCGCTCGGAATGGTCATCGGTCCATTCTGGGTTCTAGTGGCCTTAATCTGCCCACTAGAGTGTGCACATGGTGTCCGGTATTAGTTTGTGCCGGCAGATGAGGTAACGGTCATGGTTCACGTTCACGTGATGATATCAGATTCATGTTCATGTTATTACCGGTTTCATGTTCAGGTTATGTATATATACCAGGATCATGATATTGTTATTATATTCACAGGTTACTTTAGTATGAGTTTCCACGGAGCACAGTGTTATAGTGCTCACGACCCACTTTTATCATGTTTTTCAGGTCAGGATGTCGGGCCGGATGTGTGAGATGACAGATGATTCAGGACTTTTATGCATGTGACTGTATATATTTTGATGATGCTACGTTTCCGCTGATTTTGATGTTTTGATGAACTTATCTTTTGATCAGACTCTCAGATCAGACTCTCAGATAATTAATGCTTTCAGTAAACCGTAGATTTTGCTAAAATTTAAAATAACGGTTTCTCATAATAAGTCACGTTTTACGGTAGCACCCCGAATCAGTCTTTTCGCAAAATAAAAAGACTTTATTTTTAAAAGACTTTGCGAAATTACGCACTCTGATTTCACGATAAGGCGGGGTGTTACAATCTTTATATATCTATATAATATTTTTTACAAAAAGTCTGAAATTTAATATAATTTTATTTATCTTTTATATAATTACATAATATTTTTAACAAAAAATCTAAAATATAAAAATATTGTTATTTTATTTTTTTATGTATTAAAAAGCTTATGTATTAAATTATTGAAACACGAACGAACTCGAACTTTGACGAACAGTAAAATGAACAAATTCGAACACGATTTTTTGCTCGAAAAATAAACGAACGAACATGAACATTGTTCGAACGTAAACGAACACGAGTTCGAATAGCCCATGCTCAGTTCGGTTCGGTTCGTTTGCAGCACTGCAATTTTACAAAATATAAACGCATGATTTGTGTTGCTAACACAAAAAAACCCCATTCTGCAGTTAAGTGTGCAGCTTGGTTTGAAAGATATCAACTGCAAAATCTAAGTTGGAGAGGGTCTAATTTGAGTATGAGATAATAAATCTCAAAATTTGCTAAGTTGGAGAGGGTCTAATTTGAGTATGAGACAATAAATCTCAAAAATTGCTGCAATTGTTAATTTTAGATGAGTTCGATTCTCGAAGGAAATTACTTTACTTTAATGTTCAATAGTTTATTCAATTTTCATTTCAATCATCTTGTTTCATCTTTAACCAAAAGGGAAGGAAAAGTGAGAGCAAACTTAGAAGATTGTCAATTATTTTCAAAGCAAAATCTTAAAAAAGAGAAGGAAAAAAGTGGGGGCTATTGATAGATTGTTTCATCTTAATTTTTTGTTGGTGTCAAGGTTTGGTTTGTGCAAGTTTTTGGGCATTTTTCTG